GGGCGCCACTTCCGCACGGCATGCATGGGCCTACCTCTGGAGGCTTGTTTGGCAGAAGATTCACGATTGGGGCGATGGATGATTCGCCCTGCCCAAAGTCCGAAGTCACGTCGAGAGGCAGCAGGTCCTGGACGGAGCGCAGATGGCTCGCCTCGCCGAGGGTAACAAGCTGGCCGACCTTGCTGCCAAGTCTCGTGCTCATCAGAGGAACCCCCCCGTGGCTTCTCGCCAGCTCATCCAACAACATCAGAAGTTCGCCAAGGGCTCGGGTATCTGGGTTTCCAGCGTTGGGGCGGAATTGTCTGAGAAAGATTGCCTGCATCGTTGGTGTCGCGCCCGAGATCCTGAGGCCCCCCCTCTTGCGCTCGGCAAGGCCCAGCCGCCCACGATGCAGGGACGCGCAAAAGCCACACATCAGATGTACGTTCGTTGTCCGTGGTGCCAAGGTGCGCAGGTTGCGCGCGCTCTTGGCTCCCATTCTGCTTTGCCCCACTAGGTCTATATGTTGCAGTGCTTGTGGCTCTTTCAGCTCCAGGGGGCTCGCAGGGGGCCTCGCCTCTCCGTGCCCTCCTGTAGCCCCCAAGTGGGGCAAGACCGTGGGCTCCTGGTTGGCCGAGGCGAGATTCGACATTGGCAATCTTATCTATAAGATTGCAGAGCTCGAGGCTCTGTGACTTCCGTCCAGCGCGGGCGGATACGGCACATTTTATTGCGCCCGGGCATTCCCCCGCCGCCGGTCGCCGGTCCGTCCCAGGCCCGCGCGCGGCGGCGTCTCGCCCCCCTGCCTGGTTGCCGGTTCGTCCGAGGCTGGCGCTGGGCGGGCCGCGCGCCCGTGCTCGCGGGTGGCGTTCGGGCGCGCCGCTCGCGCGCGTCTGTCACTGCGCGCTGGCTTTTTTCCCAGCCCTCCTTGGTTGGGTATTCGTTTTGAATAGAGCACTGCGGTCGCGTCTTTCTCTTCCTCCCCCACCTTTTTGTTCCGCTTCCGTCTTGTCTCCTCTTGTCTTGTGCGTACCTCGTGTGCGTTTGTGTGTGTGCATCCTGGCTGCGGTGCCTCTCGTGCGCGCGTGCGTGTGTGTGTGCGCGTGTGCATCTTGCCGCCCCTGGGGGGCTGCGATCTGCGACGGTGTCGCCACTTGCGAGGGCTGCTGGTGGGTCCAGCGGACTGAGGCACAGCGGGGATCTGAGTGGGACCTCGCCGTCCCTAGGGGGCTGCGATCTGCGACGCTGTCGCCGCATTCGAGGGGCGCTGTTTGGTCCAGCGGACTGAGGCGCCGGGACCTCGCCGTCTCTGGGGGGCTGCGATCTGCGACGCCGTCGCCACTTTCGAGGGCTGCTGGCGGGTCCTGCGGACTGAGGCACCGCGGGGATCTGAGAGGGACTTCGCAGTCCCTGGGGGGATGCGATGTGTTACGCTGTCGCCACTTTTAAGGGCTGCTAGTGGGTCCTGCTGAGTGAGGCACCGCGGGGATCTGAGCGGGGCCTCGCCGTCCCTGGGGGGCTGCGATCTGCGACGTTGTCGCCGCTTTCGAGGGCTGCTGGTGGGTCCTGCGGACTGAGGCGCCCAGGTGACCTGCGCGAGACCTCGCCGCGCCTGGGAGGCTGCGATCTGCGACGGTGTCGCCACTTGCGAGGGCTGCTGGTGAGCCCAGCGGACTGAGGCACCGCGGGTATCTGAGCGAGACCTCGCCGTCCCTGGGGGGCTGCGATTTGCGACGCCGTCGCCACTTTCGAGGGCTGCTGGTGGGTGCAGCGGACAGGCGCCGCGGGGACCTGAGCGAGACTTCGCCGTCCTCTGGGTGCTGCGATCTGCGACGTTGTCGCCACTTTCGAAGGCTGCTGGTGGGCCCTGCGGAGCGAGGCACCGCGGGGACCTGCGCGAGACCTCGCCGTCCCTGGGGGGCTGCGATCTGCGACGCTGTCGCCGCTTTCGAGGGCTGCCCGTGGGCCCTGCGGGGTGACGCACCGCGGGGTCCGAGCGAGACCTCGCCGTCCCTGGGGGGCTGCGATCTGCGACGCTGTCGCCGCTTTCGGGGCTGCTGGCGGGTCCTGCGGAGTGAGGCAGCCCGGGGGTCCGAGCGAGACCTCTCCGTCCCTGCGGGGCTGCGATTTGTTACGCTGTCGTCACTTTCGAGGGCTGCTGGCGGGTGCCGCGGAGTGAGGCGCCGCGGGGATACGGGCGAGACCTCGCCGTCCCTGGGGGGCGGCCATCCGCGACGCTGCCGCCGCTTTCGAGGGCTGCTGGCGGGCCCTGTGGAGTGGGGCACCGCGGGGATCTGAGCGGGACCTCGCCGCCCATGGGGCGCCCTGGAGAGCTGCTGCGGGATGCGTTAGGCGCAGCGGGCGCGTGGCGCAGCCAGCGGAGTGATTTGTGAAACAGACCATCTGCAGGGCGGTGGCCATCGCGTTGCGCCCGCGCGTATCCTGCGGGAGCTTTCAAGAGCTGCCGCGGGATACGTTGGGCGCAACGGGCGCATGGCACAGCCAACGGTGGTGATTTGTT